AAACTAGAAAAGGTTTTGCAGAAGAGGTAACATTGGAGCTTAACTTTGGAGAATGAGTAAATATTCTCTAGACAAGGAAGAATGTGAGTAGTCTGGGCTTGTAAAAGAACACAGCTTTTAAAGATGTGGCAGAGAGCTCAATGTGGCAGCTAACAGGTGGGGCCCATGGGAAAGACCAGTAGAGATGGGTCCAGAGTCAGGTCATGAAGCCCTCTACTCATTTTTAAGGGCCTTAGGCTGGAGTGTTCTCTTCCTTCGTAACTCCTATCTATCAATCGTGGTGCCCCTACTTCACGGACAAGATGCAATTTGAGTAGATACTGAGACACCCATCTTCTGCTTGTTTGCTTGAAGACTTGTTATTTCTTTATCTCTTTTATTAAATACAATGTTATTTATTAACCATTTCATTTTATGGGCTTCCCTAGTGGTTTGGATGATAATGGGCTGGCAATGCACGAGACCCCAGGTTTGATCCCTGGGTTGGGAAGATCCCCTGAAAAAGAGAATGACTACCCACTCCAGTATTCTTGCCTGGAAAATTCTATGGACAGAGGAGCCTGGTGGGCTACAGTCCATGACATCACAAAGAGTCGGGCATGACTGGCCAACAAACATTTCATTTTAACCTATTTTAACCTATTTCTATAAAATGTGTATCTTTTAGTCTGACTTTAAAATAACCTTCTATAGAAGGTTATAAGAAGACACAAAGATCTTCTTCTGTCATGCTTAAAATTCTACCTTTAGTAACTTCTGGAATCCCAAGTGGTAAGGTAAAGTAAAGGTTAGAGTCCTGGTTTCTGACACACAAACCCTTGTTTCAAGCCTGAGATGAAGGGTCATTCAGTTGCTGTTAGTATATCTCTAGTAATGGAAATATTTACCTATACCTGTATTTGTTAATACTGATATATCAGGGCTTCTCAGTGGCTCAGATGGTAAAGAATCTGCCTGCAATGTGAGAGATCTGAATTTAATTCCTGGGTTGGAAAGATCCCCTGGAGAACGGCATGGCAACCCACTCCAGTATTCTTGCCTGGAGAATCACCATGGACAGAGGAGCCTGGTGGGCTACAGTCCACGGGGTCGCCAAGAATCGGACATGACTGAGTAACTATACTGATACATCAAAGACTAATAAAACTGCAGAGCTGAAATTAGTCACCGTTTTGCAGATGAGAAAACCAAGGTCTAGGGAGGAAAAATCATTTACCTAAGGTCATACAGTTCAGTTCAGTTCAGTCACTCAGTCATGTCCGACTCTTTGCGACCCCATGAATCGCAGCACGCCAGGCCTCCCTGTCCATCACCAACTCCCAAAGTTTACTCAAACTCATGTCCATCAAGTTGGTGATGCCATCCAGCCATCTCATCCTCTGTCATCCCCTTCTCCTCCTGCCCCCAATCCCTCCCAGCATCAGGGTCTTTTCCAATGAGTCAGCTCTTCGCATCAGGTGGCCAAAGTATTGGAGTTTCAGCTTCAGCATCAGTCCTTCCAATGAACACCCAGGACTGATCTCCTTTAGGATGGACTGGTTGGATCTCCTTGCAGTCCAAGGGACTCTCAAGAGTCTTCTCCAACACCACAGTTCAAAAGCATCAAATCTTCAATCATACAGTAGATGTTGACAAATCCAGAGGGACAATTTATCTTTTTCAGCCAGCAACTTTGTTTCTCTGACTACAGAATTAACTTATCAGATCTCTATCTGAATTATTGGGAGTCAGGAACCTGGGGTACCAACCCATCCTCTACTGCTAATCATTTCCATGACTCAGGTCCCAGCTGTGTCAGTCTTTCAGGTCTGTTTTCTCACCTGTGAAATCAGAGGCCTGGACTAGAGGAACTCCCAGAGTCCTCCTCCCAGACATTTATAGAGTCTTTATCCTTTCTCTAAGAGAAGATATGTCTAAAGGTCCTAGTGGACCAGTTGGAGACTGAGAGACGAATACAGTAAAGGGAACTGGCTCAAGAAGGTTCATATGTCCTCAACCATTCGCTAATCCAAACTTCTAGTCAGATGCATTCTTGGAGCTTTTATTTTCTGATTTAAGGGCATTTTACTGCAGTCTCACTTTAGGAATATTTTACACTTTCTTTTGTAGCAGAAATGTTCTGATTACCTGCCCTTTAAACTTGGGCCATAAAGTCTTTCCTTAGAAACTGACTCAACTTTATATGTTGTGGCTGGTTTTGAGTAAATGGGCTGAAGCTTGCAGCCAAGCCTCAGTGCAAACAAAAACATTTTCTGGTCAAGCATTTTCTGGTTTGTTCAACTCCATTACAGGGTTGGCTTTAAAAAAGAAAAAGTTAAAACCCACAGAAGAGCAAAACACAAACCCTGGGAAGACAGTTTCCAGCCACATTAGCTCAGATCACCAGGGCAGAAAAGAACCAGGGCCTTCATTGTCCAGACCATCGTCATCTCCAGACTCTCATCTTATGTTCTTCTGCTATTTTAATTTCACCACTTCAAAATGGGGGGAAAATAGGTTAATAGTTTCCATGAGTTTAGACTGTGACCAGAGGCATACTAAGCAATTTCAGAATCTCCAGTAACCACAGTTTGGAGGAGAGAATGGTGATGGATTTACCGTCCTCTGGATTCCAGAGTTAGGGGACTCGGGCCAGCACTGTGATGCCAGAGTGGGATGTAAACAATATTCCTTGCTTCATTCTTTTTGCATATGTTCATCCTAGGATTCTTTTTATTCCAGGTAGTATGTTGGGTGAAAAAGTGAAAGTGTTAGTTGCTCAGTCATGCCTGACTCTTTGTGAGCCCATGGACGGTAGCCCACCAGGCTTCTCTGTCCATGGAATTCTCCAGGCAAGAATACTGGAGTGGGTTACCATTTCCTTCTCCAGGGAATCTTCCTGACCCAGGGATTAAACCTGGGTCTCCTGCATTGCAGGCAGATTTTTTTTCTACCATCTGAGCCACCAGGGAAAAAGCCTGGGACAAAGACACATTCTTAAGACATAATCCCTGTCCCTAAAGAATCGCAGTACAGTATAGGAAATACCCATATGTGCAAATAATTGTAATACGGTGAATACTGTAAGTGCTATAAGCAACATGAATTAAGTGCTTAGGAAAGGGAGAGGAAAAAAAGTTTATTCCAACTGAAGTTACTGAAGAAGGCTTGCCTGGGGAGATGCCTTCTGGTCCGTAATTTGAGAGGTCAAAACAGCAAATTGTGATTCCTTCTAGGCATGACAATGCACAGAAGTATGGAAGTTTCTCATTGGTTTGAGCAAGGGTAGCAGTCTGAAACATTAGGAAATCTGAGCCTAAAACAGGAGATTGCATGTCAGGTGAGGAACTAGCTCTTAGCACAATGAGGAATCATAGAAGTTTTTCCGGCAGGAAAGCTCCTTAATCACATCTGTCTTTTAGAAAGGAAATGACTGAAAGTCATTATGAGGATGGGCAAGTGTTACAGAAGGAGAGATGGAAACAGGAAGCCGGTCAGGCACTGTTTCTCTAGTTGTCATCAGCACACTGCTTATCTTCCAACAAACGTGCCTTGCCTCATGCCCATTTAAAAGTTCCAGTGGTAAGAGGGAAATATTTCTTCTCCATTTCCACATCCCTTCAGTTCTGCAGTTTTCTAATCAGATCTCTATCCCAGGTTTATTCTAGATTGTAAACTCATGGAGTCAGTCCAAACATCTCAGTTAGAATATTGCATATTACATATGAAGCTCTGTTGTCTGGTAAGAAAGCATACAATTCTAGGCAAGGATGGAAAGTTAACAACTAATTTTATCGATTTGTCTGAGTCCTGACTCAATAAATGATATCCATTTTAAAGTGGGGGAGGAGGATTTATTTTTAAACCTGAATGTATTTTTAAAGCCAAATAAATTTGACTTTCTTCTTTCATTTCTCAAAAGTGAAACCCTCTAGGTTCAACAAACCCTCTAGACTCAAAACCCTCTAGGTTCAACATTTCCATCAAGAGTTTACAACACTAAATGTGGAGATGGTGTTTGAATCAAGGTTTTAAATGATCAAAACATCATTGATTATACTGATCTCTCATTGGGTTCTATAACCAGCATGCTCTCTGCAAGTCTGGGTCATCAGAGAGACCACTCTAAAACATTAAAGTTTTGAGTGATCCTGGTGATATTTTGATGATTAATCAAGTTTTATAAGTAATAGAGAAGTATTCTTCCAGTGGAGAACCCTAGGTTGTGTAGTTCAGAGGTCAGCCAACTATGTGTTAAGTCACTTCAGTCGTGTCTGACTGTTTGCAACCCTATGGACTGCAGCCTGCCAGGCTCCTCTGTCCATGGGATTCTCCAGGTGAGAATACTGGAGTGGGTTGCCATGCCCTCCTCCAGGGATCGTCCCAGTCCCAGGATTGAACCTGTGCCTCTTAGGTCTCCTTCATTGGCAGTCAGTTTCTTTACCACTAACACCATTTGGGAAGCTCAACTATAGCCATGGCCAAATTCAGCTTGCTTTTGTAAATAAAGTTTTATTAGAACACATTCATGATCATTTACTTCCACATTGTCTGTGGCTGCCTTCCTGCCACAACAGCAAAATTGAGTTGCTGTACAAAGCCAGAGGGCTTCCCTTGTGGCTCAGTGGTATAGACTCCTTCTGCCAGTGCAGGAGACACAGGTTTGATTCTCGAGCCAGGAAGATCCCGTGGAGGAGGGTGTGGCAATCCACACCAATGTTCTTGCCTGGGAAATCCCATGAACAGAGGAACTCGGAGAGCTACAGTCCATAGGGTCTTAATGAGTTGGACAGATTTTAGTGAGTAAAACACAAAACACATCTGCATGGCCTTAGAAGAGCCACTTGATCCATCCGTTTCATTCTCTGTCTGTAATAAACACTCTGCCTTCCTCCAAATACTATGTGAAAGCACATGAGCCCATATGTTATGGAACACTGCTTGTCATGCTATAAGTTACTATGTAAGTGGAGCTCCTTACATCCCAGCCTAACATTGGCATTTTTTCTTTTCCTCCCTAGAACACCCTGGAGCAATGCAGTGTTTGCTCCAAGCCCATCATGGAGCGGATTCTCCGAGCCACAGGGAAGGCCTATCATCCTCACTGCTTTACCTGTGTGATGTGCCACCGCAGCCTGGATGGGATCCCATTCACCGTGGACGCTGGTGGCCTCATCCACTGCATTGAGGACTTCCACAAGTAGGCGATCTACTCTCCCTTCTGCTGCCTGATGGTCCTCTTGGGGTCTGGTCTTACTGCCTGGCATATGGGCTACTCTTCTCTCTCCAATAGAATCTCAGGATTTGGTGCGACCTTAGAGAGAAGTTATTTATTCCCTCCTCCAATGCAGGGAGTGATATCAAGTAATCCGTGTGGTCCTCCAGTGTGGCCTCTGCTTCAAAGCTTCCCTTGGGCTTATCCATCACATGTGTGTGTCACCTTAATTTTGAGAAAGTTGAGTCAGCCACAGAACATATTACTGGAAAGAGGCAATATCACGGGGTAGTTCTCCCTGGCCTAAACGTGAACAAGCTGTGAGTCAGTGGACAAATTGCCCGGTTTTCTCTGAGCTCTTCAGTTTGTTCATTAGACCAGACCCATCAAAGAGTTCTCTCTAGAGCCATGTCTTTTCCACTCTGCACAGAGGAAGTTATAGTGGGAGAACATTTGAATTGTTCAGAGAACAGTTCAGCCCCTCTTGCTAAAGCAAGCCTCTTGCATATTTACAGGTGGTTTTATGCCATTAGAAACATATACATACCCTCCCCTAAGCTCTTCCCCCAGATCTTCTCTGCCTCAGGATATTTTCTGTTCTTTTGAGGACAATTAGAAAGTAGAACCTCACGATCAAGACCACATAACTGATGGGCCTGGAAAAATATATCCCTACTTCCTCACTTCTCTCCTTTGTAGAGTCCTCTTTTATTATAGCTGGAGTGGTCATGAAAAATTGTATAGTTTTGCATTTTGCTTATTCTTATTTGACCAGTTTGTTGGTTGATCACATTTGTTGCATATTCCCAGGAATGATATGATAGCTCTAGGTGTGGTTTATAATTGGCAGACATGGAAGTTTAGCCCAGCAAACACAAGAATCATCTGAGGCTTGCAACGAGATGAACTTGTATGGCTCACCAGTTTGGGTTCTGTTGCCGCCCAGATATACAGTCTTGTGGGTTAATTTTCATTGCTGTGTTGTCAACAACTGCGAGGTACTTGCCACAGGCAGCTTGGGGACCTGAGATTCATATTGTAAAAACAGAATTTCCTGACCACTTTCCAAATAGCAGAAAAAGTGAAAACCTCACCAAAAGATGTGAGGCTGAATGAATTAAAAAAAAAAAAAATCCAGAGGCAGGAATTCTCAACCTGAATTAGACAAGGAAGGGCTGGCTTACTTTGAAAGGGCAGTCACAGCACAAATTGTACTTCATGTTAGTGATATTTTTAGCTTCTAATTACACATGAAAAAAAAAAACTTGCATCTATTTAAGGGAAGTGAAAAGATACCAATAGGGAATGTATTTCTGTCACTGTTTCTCTCCTTTCTTAGACTTACTCTAATCCAAGAAAGACTGATAGATATAATCAGAGCACACATGTTTCTGTTGCTGGAAAAGACTGATATGTTACACCCCTCAATTAAAACAGGAAGTCAATTCTGACAAATGTAAGTTTATATCTATGCCATTTATCTTTCATTTCGAGGAGTGGGGAGCATAATTACAGACTTGTGACTGGTGACATGTGTGTGGGTCTGAACACTGCAGGAAGACACACTTGAGCAATTAAAAGCGAAAAAAAATCCAAAACCCCCAACAGTCCCCACCATCACTAATTCAATGGGAAGTTAAAATGCAACCTATTCAAAATAATGTTGTCTGCATGATTGGCAGGTATGAAAGGGGAGAAGCTTTTTGCTCTTTTCCCCATTTCCAACAAGAAAAATAAAAGACATATTTTAAAGAACTCTGTTTCTGGGTCTTGAAACACTGGAACAGAAAGCAGCTGTAAGTCCAACCCAGGGTAGACATTGCATGGCTAAGGAAAGTGGGTTACAGAGAGGAGATGCAGCTGACTTCTACAGATAATTGGTCATTCTGAACAGATCTCCCATTTGTGAGCTTCTAGGAAATGCCTTTCCATTCAATTCAACCACATCTATGAAGAGCCCTCTATGTGCCTATTACTGTGCAAAGGGAAAGAAATTGCATAAGTAGAAATTCATAGAGAGAAGCCCTGACCAGCAAGGAGTTTGACAGGAGGAAGGAAGAGAAGAAGTGCAGGTTATGTGTGAGATCAGGCAAAAAATACTATGAAGGTTGACGAGATGACACACAGGCAAGGGTTTGAGCTATCAGGGCCAAAAGAGATCACTGGGACCTGAGTAGGCTTCTGGAAGCAGAGTGTTTTAAATGGGAAATGCAGATTACTGACAGAAGGAACGGCTCAGGCATTATAGAAGGGCACAGAGTAAAGAATGGCTTCTCTGCATTCAAGGAAGCTCTGCTTGGCTGGAGCTAGAGCAGCCTGAGAATAGAAACTGAGGTGCAGGAGGCCCAGGAGAAGGGATTTATCTCCCCCGCTTAGAATCCTGTCCTTTAAACTGGTGCTTCCCAAACTTGAGCATGCTTACTGTCACAGATCTTGTTAAACTGCAAAGTTTAGTTCAGGAGATCTGGAGCAGGGGCCTAAGATTCTGCATTTCTGACCAGCTCCCAGGTGGTCTTGGACTGCACTCTGAGTAACTAGCTTCTGAAATGCTATTTTTAAAGCCTTGCTAATGGGCCATCCCCTCCATAACCACCTTCAGTCAGGATTGGCTCAAATCCCCCATCCTGTTAGGCAGAAACTCTTTCCCATGTGTCATTTCAGATGACTGCTCAAACTAGTTTCCTGGCAGACTGCCTGTATCCCACCCTCACTCCCAACACACACCCATACACACCACACACACACAAACACACACAGACTTACTTTCCCATTTCACCTAAGTGGCCATCTTTCAAGGCCCAACCCAGTTATCATCTAGTGAAAATTCCATGGACAGAGAAGCCTAGCAGTCTACAGTCTATGGGGTTGCAGAGTCAGACATGGCTGAGCATAGCACGCACAAAGAAGCATCCTCAGATCTCAAACTCTCCCTAGCCCCATGTGTGAATTTAGATCTCTTTCTCAATGTTTTATAGTTTTGTAAATCCACTATCGATAGCACTTAACATAGCCTGATTAGTGATAAAAAAAAATGCAGATACACAATTTTACAGTAACCCCCTTAAGTCATTTTTGCAGTATGATAGGCTATGCATATATGTTAACAGAACAAATACAGAAATATATAGAGGTCCCTCACCAGTCTGACTGCTGGAGTCTTAGTTTATTTCTGTATTCCCAGTTCCAAGACAGTGGGCTCAGAAAAGCAGACTTATTTAAATCGTCCTTTCATTGCGTTGAGCCTTTATTCCACTGTCTGATCTTTCTTATCAGGGATGTTACATGCATCCATCTATTTGTTTAATCAGCATCCATTTGTGGATTGCTAAAAATGTGCCAGGACCCAGTGAATAAGACCATCCTTCTCTGAGCTTTGGCTCCTATGACTATATAGCAGAAATGATAAAAAGTATTTCTTCATGTTTGCTATCAGTAAAAAAAATAAGGACAAGTATATAGAGTTCTTAACAAGACTTGGCATACAATAAGCACACAAAACCATCAGGAGTATTTTTTATCAAATTAATTTTATTATTATTGTCTGCTTAGGGAGTCAAGTCTTTAAATAGACCACCTGGGAGTTTTCAGAGTCCTTAAAATGCTGGCCAGGGAACACCATGGGGACTGTGGAAGCCACTTCCAGTCTCTACCCTTTACCATTTCCCATCTAATGAGGCCAGTTGGTAAGAAAGAATCATTACTCAGCAAGAATACTGTTCATACCTTTCCAAAGAGGAAAGACCTTGAGATTGAACATAAAGGCCTAAGCAACATCTTTTTATGCAGAATATAGCAAATACTTCATTCCATTAGATATTGTCTGACTTTCTATCTTCAGCACCAGTCACAATAGTTATTTCTAGAAACTCAGAAATAAAGTAAATCCTGTCCTTTGGAAGCTCACGGTTTTTAGGTCTCCAAAGATATGCAAATAATTACTACTAAAATAGGCAAACTCAATGAAAGATATTTTATCCTCAAGGAGTATATAATCCTACTTGAGGACATTGGGGAAGGCTCACCGATAAAGTGATAGGCTAGGTGCACTTCTGACCTCACAAATTTTATGGTCCCAGTAGGTTTGGGGAAAGGAGATTTTGCAGCTGATTCCAGAAGCCTGCTTATTTCACTACTGATGACCTAGATTCAAAAATAATCAGGTAGTCCAAAGCAGTTCTTTTGCCACTGAGTATAAACTTCTTGCATAAAATGCCAATTATAACAACTCTGATTACTGCTGCAGTTGTACCATGATCCTTTTAATTTTTCTTTCATAGCAATCAATTGATCTGCTGCTTAATTCATATTTATTTAGATTGCAGCCATACAGATGCCTTTTGGGTGCCGCCAGGAAAATTAATATGTACATATAGAGTGTAATGTATGTAAAAATGCTTTGACAACCATAAAGTGCTCTGCAAAGTGTTAGATTACTATCATTATTTCTTTTTAAGTCTCTCTACAAATAGATAAAATTTAACATCATTAATCTTAAAAGCATTACCATGAAAAAACTGAGTTGCACAGTCTTTCTCTCTTTTTCAATCTTTTCAGTTCTTATCTGTGTCCATTGCAAATCATGTCTCATTTTACACCTTCATAAATGGCACACCTAATTTCCAGAAGATACAGATGGATGCATGGCCTGTATTTGCAGCCTATTGATCTGTTATAAGAAAAAAAAAATGTTATGGCCATTAGTCATAGTAAGGAATATTAAGAGTTAGGAAATATTAAAATTTCTCACCAATAGTTGACCTCAAAAAATGTGTATATTTATCCAAATATATACACATACATACATATATAGGGCTTCCCTGGTGGCTCAGCTCATAAAGAATCTGCCTGCAATGTGAGAGACCTGGGTTCGATCCCTGGGTTGTGAAGATTCCCTGGAGAAGGGAAAAGCAGGCTACCAACTCCAGTATTCTGGCCTGAAGAATTCCACGGACTGTATAGTCCTCAGAGTCATAAAGAGTCGGACACAACTGAGTGACTTTCACTTTCACACACTTATATATACATACATACGTATATATGTGTGTATATATATATATTGATATATATATACACACATTTCTAAGAAAGACACTCCAATAATTGGGAGTGAGGCAAACTTACAACCTCAGGAAATTTGGGTAGAGCCTGGTAAGCACATACAAAGTCTAGAAGCAAAAGTCAGAAGCAAGTAGGGGCTGCTAAGACCTTCATCCTTCCCTCTGATTGATCCGGCCCAGGATTTGTATTTGCAGTCTTTCCACAGGTGAATGCCACGCCACACACTGAGTGGCCTGTGGCTCCTAGATGCAGATGCAGTTCATACACTCACCTCCCACTTTCCCAAATATCATGATGTTTATGATCTAGAAGAACCTCAACAGTCATTGAGTATAAATCCCCTATTTTAGCTAAGGAAGGAGACCCAGGGAAGGAAGGTGATTTGCTCAAGGTCACACAAGGTGGTAGACCAGATGTCCTGGCTCTTGGTTTGCACCTTTTCTTTTCTATTGTTTTCATTTCTTTGCCAGCATTTAAGTTCAATATCTAACCAGAACTCTCTTTCCTCTTCCAGGAAATTTGCTCCCCGCTGTTCTGTGTGCAAGGAGCCTATCATGCCTGCCCCTGGCCAGGAGGAGACTGTCCGGATTGTGGCTCTGGATCGTGATTTCCATGTTCACTGCTACCGGTGTGAGGTCTGTGGTCAGCGCCCCCACCCCCTGCCAGGCCCATCAGAGCCAGATTTTTATAAATATCACAATTATTAAATCTAGGAGGGCCCTTAGTGCCTGTGTTCGTTTGATTTTGGTTTTGCAAGAGACCTGTGACCCCAGTTGGAAGTGATGAGAGATTTCTTGCCCGAGAGCCATGTCATCATGTATATAGCAGAGGGCAGCGAGTCTTTCTCTTCTAATCTGGGTTTCAAAAGGACACCACATTCAGAAAATGACTTCAAAGCATTTTGTTGTCCTAGTCCTATGACTTGCCCAGGGCCCCTCTTTTGAAGCAGCTTTCTTGTTTTCTACCAGACCTTCTGAGTGCAGCAGTTAGCAGCTCCTCCTTCTATCTGCAAGAGATAATATGAACTATCTTATTACCACCTCATGACACTGGCTCATTTAGTCCCACGAGATTTTCCCAAGACATGGGCCGGTGGAGCTGGCAAGGCTGCCCCTAGTCTTTAGGACTGCAGTGATTCCATCTTCCTCCTGGACTGTAGCTGACCACCTGGTTTATGCAGTGTGCTTTGCTCGGTCCTACAGCCCCAGTTGAATGCCCCTCTCTGGCCTTAATGTGAGCAAAGAGAATAAAAAACTTCCAGCTTTTACACTAGGTGTTATGACTAAAGAGCAATAAAAATATCTAGCCTTAGAATTGACCTGAATTGTAAGTGTGGAAAACCTAGAGTTCATTTTGCATTTGGAGAAACTGAGGTTCAATGGAGGCAGGTTTCCCAGTATTTCTGGACACACTTGCTTCTATGTGCCAACAGGCTTTGACTTTTCATGGTTTTGTTGTTTGTTCTAAGAGTGGTGTGAGGTGTACCTTTTCTCTTCCCAGATGAAATGATGGCAGTACAAAATAAATTTGTACTGCACATGTGTCTTAGAATCAGGACTGTAGAATGGGAGGAACACTGAATTAAAAGGAGGCAGACCTCCATCACCCTGGACAAATCACTTCCCTCTCCACACTCACTTCCCCACCTGTAAAACAGGCTTGTTCTGGTTGCCCCAGTATTGGCTCCTTTGGTTCTAAGATTCAAGGTGCTAATAGTTGAGTTTCAACATTGCAGTTGACTCTGGGGTCTTTAGGGTGCCCAGGTAACTGTTAATGTTAGGTCATTAAATGCTTAAAACCATGTCATTTATGTAATTTCTTTCTTTTGATTATGATCAAAAGATTCTGTTTAATTCCGTCACTCAGTTTCCCCAAAAGTCTCTGCTGCTGCTGCTAAGTTGCTTCAGTTGTGTCCGACTCTGTGCAACCCCATAGACTGCAGCCCACCGGGCTCCCCCATCCCCGGGATTCTCCAGGCAAGAACACTGGAGTGGGTTGCCATTTCCTTCTCCAATGCACGAAAGTGAAAAGTGAAAGTGAAGTCGCTCAGTCGTGTCCGACTCTTAGCGACCCCAGGGACTGCAGCCCACCAGGCTCCTCCATCCATGGGATTTTCCAGGCAAGAGTACTGGAGTGGGGTGTCAAATGTCTCTAGATCTCCAGAATATCTGCTTGTTCATTCATAAAGCTGGCCTTCTTGGGAAGAATAACTATAGGTGCCATCGCTGCTGCTGCTGCTGCTCCTGCTGTTGTGTTCTGGGTGACACCCTTTTTGAACTTAAATTTCATTATTTGTCAAATTCAGATATGAACCTCAATGACCCCCCCCCCTTGCTGTCATAGAAGACAGCAGAGGTGAGGCACACAGCAGTTGTGACCTTCTAAAAGAGTTTCTACTACAGTTAGCAAGGGCACACACTACAAGATGAAATACTAAATTTTTCTTTTCCGAAGAAATTTCTGTTTCCTCTAAAGGTGAAGGTCAGTGTTTAACTGTCATATAACACTTTTCAAAATGGATGCTCAGGTACTATTAACAGTAGTATAATTCTTTACAGTTATGTAGCTCTTGGCATTTTTTTCAAAGTATAGTCATATCCATTTTCCTCTTTGATCCTCCTAACCTCTCAGTGAGGTAGGAATTGTGGGAACAATTTTTAGAGTGGCTGTTGGCCTTGCCTGCAGTGACAGAGGCAGGAGCAGAACTAATGGTGGTACCCAAGGGCCCTGTCCCCCCATCTGGCACTCATTCCTCTATACTATGCTGTATCCTTTAGAAAGTACAATGGATCATTCCCCACTCCCCCCCCCCCCCACGCCAAACCTTAGGATTTTATTTTCTTGCTAAAGTTGGATTAAGTATGCAGACCCTGTTTGTGGTCCGCTGCTTAGCAGGATTCACTCTGCAACTTAGCTTCTGACCTGGAATTACCACGAGATTCTGTCCTTGCACTTGCATATTACTTTTGAAAAATCTTTAAATTAATAGTAAATGATAAAGATCTATTCTCTCCTGTTCTTATTGTTTGGGTGAAGAGAACAAAATACTTGGGAGCCTAAAGCCTCAGGTTCTTCCCCTTCTGTACCTGTATTTCCTATTGCGTGACTTCAGGAAGGTCATTTTACCCTGTTCTTATTTATGTCCCCAGCCTCTTCTTCAACTTAATGCAGGACATAGCATATGATGTCCTGCGGAAGAGAAAAGGTGGTAATTGACCTCTTTATGGAAGCTTTGAATGAAAAGAGGAATTTGTTTCCATTTTCACTGACATCCTTTCCCTCTGCCTTCCTTCTTCCAGGATTGTGGTGGTCTCCTGTCTGAAGGAGATAACCAAGGCTGCTACCCGCTAGATGGACACATCCTCTGCAAGACCTGCAATTCTGCCCGCATCAGGGTGTTGACCGCCAAGGCCAGCACTGACCTTTAAATCCAGTCGCCTGTTTAGCGGTTAGTGGGTGGCTCCGAGAAGGACGAAACACAAGAAAAATATGAAAAGAGAAATAGGAAAAGAGAGGAAAGGCAATCAAGCTATGGGATGGTCTCTACTTCATCCACTATTAACCTTTCTTTAGAAACACCTAGAATATGAGATTTTTTTGAGTTCTTACAATGCACATTTCACAGTTAATCATGTAGAACCTTGATAGGTCTTTGTTCCCAAGGACTTGCACATGTTTGCACGGATTATGCTCCATCCCATTCACTTCTGCATTCCTTTAACCTTTAATCCCTATGTTTGTCTCACTTTTCATCTGGTTGAATGGCTTTTTTTAGTGTGGTATTTGCTGTCACACAGTTTTTCCTGGGGAAGTCTGCCAACTCCCAGGTGCTTTTCGGCTTGAAGGCTCCATCCTATCACTTCCACATTGCCAGCGACCATAAAAGATAGTCATTCATTTTCTGTGTATTGAAAAAAAAAGTCTTTTATTACTCTAAACTAGTCATGTCCCTTGGGAAAAAATGCACAATTATATGTCAGGTTATAAAGAATTTAAACTGTAAATTACATAGATTAAAAGAAGCTGAATTTGCAGCCATCCAAATTCAAAATCTATAATGACCAGTGGTGGGGCTCATTTGAAAATAGGTATTGGTGAGAGAGAACCAAACCTCAATATTTTTCCTGCAGAAATTACAGATGGGGTATACTCGATAAAGCATTTTGGGGTTATATTTTAAAAGGCATTATTATGCCTCAAATATTAAATTTTTTCTTTTTCCATGCTACCTGGATATAATAACATGGACAAATTTGGTTTTCTCTAGAATAGAACTTCCAATACTGTTCCACTTTTCATATCAGATATATTGCAACATTTTGTTTGCTTGTTTGTTTGCTTTGGGAGGGAGGACATACAAACACAACTGCCAAAATTGTGTAGTTGTATTCCTCTAGAGGAAGATATCTATAAAGAAATGTTTATTTTTTTTTTCCAGGCCCAGGTCCATTTTACCTGACAGTTGCAAATCAGGGCACATAAAATTGTCTTAGTTTTGTTTAGTTTACCTTAAAAAGACAGGAAACTTGAAAAGATTGTGGAACCACAGTTTCATTATTCTTATAATTCTTCTGCAACTCAAAATACATATTGCAGGAGACATTTTCATATCATTGATGTGACATTTACACCACACTTTCTTAGACAATCGCTGAAAAGAAATTGCCTTTTTGAACTAAAAATATTCAGAGCCTGGGATCTTTAGTCCGATTCTTTTGGGGCAGTGAAATGCTTGCCTGCAGCAGAACCATATACATTGTTTTTTTATGTCCTAACATGTTTCCTTTAAGGAACAAACCTGCTCTTAGTAGCAAGTTACCATCTTATAAATTAAATATTTTGGATTAAGATTTGTTCAGATCTTTTTTAAGAATACGTCAACCTTCTTAAAAACTTTCTGCAAGTATATACTTTTAAATTACAAAGTATTTTAAATATAACAAAAATATAGATAATAATATAATGGATCTCTGTAATACCCAGTTTAAGAAATCAAATATAACAAATATAGCTACATTCCCCTGTATACCCTTCCCTGATTCCACAAAGATCTTTTTCATGATTAGAAGGTGATAAACTCTTCTAGTCTGACTTTTGTTTTTAATTTTAACACTCAGAAACGAGAAATTATTTGTGAATGTTTTGCATTGCAATCCAGACCTCAAGCATCCCAATTAAATTTATTTTGCTTTAGTGGGAATAATCATAAAGGTGGTTCTTTTTTTTCAATAAGATATCCTTAAGCCTGTGGCTCTTCTAAGTCAATCTGTGGCTCATTTGCTTTGGTTACCAAACAGTTTTGTTTTAGAACCACCACAGTTAGAATTTTCAAAGGGTCCTTTGACCACTGTGCTTTCCTCACCTTGTTTCCCTTGTCCTTGACCTCACATTTCTCATAATGTGAAATGCAAGAGGTCCAGCAGCATGTGGATTTTAGGATACAATGACAACTGTATCACTGAATTTCTGTCTTCCAAATGAAAGGAGACCATGCTGATGACCTCAAAGAGTACTGACTATTAGACAATTGGGGTGATACTATCTATAATCAGCTTGAATTGCTTCAGCCATTTGTTTTCTATAAAATACTTGGGGAAAAATTATCTTTTGGTCAAAAGGAAAGAGCCCAACTTATTGAGGGGTGGAGTTTATCTCTTGAAATTCAGTCTTATGAATTTTGCCAAAAGAGGGAGGATTTATGAAATATTTATACTATAAAAATGCAGTAACATTCTACTTGTTGGTTACATTTAAGTTCTTATGTAACTGAATGTTTACATGCCAAGAAAAAAGAGTTATAAGAAAAGGCTGTTACAGGCCCCTCACTGTGACACTGCCAGAATAGTGCTTGCTTACAATCTTTATAGTGCGTTTTTATCATGTAACCTCAGAGTATCTTTACCAAAGATTTTTAAAGTAAATCTCTTTTTAATATAGACTTATCATACTTTTATAATAATGAATGTGCACACCTACATATACAGAATATTTAGATTTAGATTTTTTTCTTTCACAAGGTATAATAAGGAAAGGATCCTAAAATATTTTATTTCAGGATTTCTTAATTATATGATTTATACTGCTTTCTTGTCTTCTATTAATCATTTGGTATCAGCAATGCCAAATCACTCTTTACTGTTTTAGCTACATGAAATGATGCCTATAACAGATATAAAGATCTAGTGCCTTAAGGATGATAATTCTACTGTCTTGTGATATCTTGTCTTGATTGTTATCATTTAAATACATAGATAATAGAAAAAAATCATAGAGTCTATAAGAGAAAGTTTGTAAAAATAAACTAAAAAATATACCAGTTTTAAAAAAATTGTCACGAACAGAAATATTTGGTAATTCCATGTAACATGAGAGACATGGAAAAGGAAAAAAAACCCACCATGTCCTGGGCTCTGCAGATTGCTTCATGGTTAGATTTCTCCATCGCCTGAATCCCCGGCTCATACTGACTCAGTGTGGAGTCTCATCTGTGAACAGATTGGCCTTTAAAACTCAAAATAAGTCATGTGTTCCAGCAAAATGCATCAAAGCTTTGAGATCCTGGACATCTCTGCAGCTCAATGATGTGGGTTCTTTTTCCTTTCATTAAAAAATTGTTTTTACCAGAGCAACTTCTCTGATCAAAATGACTTCATTGTGTGTATGCTGATGAATACAGTGGAGATATCAACACTATAACTGTTTCCTCACTAAGATTCTGCAGAGATGTTTGCGATAATGTTTCAAGTATATAAAATTCTAATTACATTTAAACAAGTATTTTGTATTTGGGTTCAGGGGAAGGAAGAGAGCATTTTACCATGGGTCTGTCGTAGAGGGTTTATGGAATATAGACAGGACTCTGAAAACACAACTCCCAACAGTTTTCCTAGTTAATAATAATCCTATTAATGTGAACCAGCCAGGAGTAACAGTGTTATTTCTATTTGATATGGTTTAGGCTTCTCTTGTCAAATCTGCATTGGGGCTGCCCCTTGATCCCTCCATTATCAAGTTTTGAAGGGTGTTGGGGAAACTATGGCAGCTGCTAGGAAGATCAGGGAAACACTGATGTAACCTCACAGCCTCTCACCATTTCTCTTGGCTTGGAATGGCTTTTTTTCCATATACATTTCTAGAAATATTGCTATGCTACCTTAGTATTTCACATTTGTAGTTTAAACAAGCGATTGTCCATCTGTTGCCTGGAGCTTCAGTACATGTGTGTTATGAATGAAATATGACAGCATGTTCCATACCCTGCTTTAGCCATCTGTAGGAAACCAGGAGGCTGGAAAAGATATACCTCTGCAAAATGTGCCTCAAGTTCATTTCCTAAGATCGCTCTTTTGGTGCACTTTCACAGGAGACAATCAGAGAGCAACACGTATTTGTGCCTTATTTTTAAAGAAAACTGTACACTACTATGAATGCTCCTCTGAAGAGTCTTCACATAAATAACCCTCCCAAATCTCAAAGATGTACTCATTGAAAAGTCAAAATCCAGAGGAATCGGAACTCTTCATCTTAATGTATTCTAGCAGTATTTCTGTTCTCGCCATCTCTTGGAAGTACCTTATGGATTCCTAAGTTAGGACAACATTGTTAAGCATTCTTATGCTACAAGGTGATGTCTTAGGTGTTGTTAGTGAGTAAGTGGTTTTATTTAGTGGTCTTACTCTAGTTTTAGTCAGCTAATGAAGACATACTTCCACTTGAGCCTTTAATATCTATTCAGCATACCGCTTTTAATTGCCGTGGTCTTTTGGTTTGTTTTTTTATTTTTTTAATTTAATAGTATACAGAATTAGTTGAGGATCTTGGTTCTGAGTCATTATTATGGTGCAGTCATGAATATATCAGGTCAAGTTGTTTCCTTGACAGGTAACTTTTCTCATGAGGCTATCGCTTGCTGTGTGCTGTGCTGTGTTCAGTTGCTCAGTCGTGTCCAACTCTTTGTGCTCCTATGGACTATAGTTCTCTAGCCTCCTCTGTCCGTGGAATTTTCCAGGCAAGAATACTAAAGTGGATTGCCATTTCCTCCTCCTCCTTCCTGACCCAGGGATAGATCCGATGTCTCTCATGTCTCTCCTCCATTGGCAGGTGGATTCTTTATCACTGTGCCACCTGGGAAGCCTGGCTGTTGTTTAGTTCACTTATGATTTCAGCCTTTAAAAAGTGATCTGATTAAAGCTGTGTGGCCTGGTGAGAGTTCTCTCTCCCTCTCCCCCTCCCTCCTTGTCTCCTCCTTATTCCTTAACATTTCTACTCATTAATGTTACCCTGATTGGACTTTTCATAAATAAATTAAATCAGTACATTACAATCCTTATGGAATTATGATCATATTAGGAGAAGAATTGTACCACAAAATATATGCAGCATCCATAAATCCTTCCTTTAGAAAGGCATATTTTTCCAGACTGTGTTTATTCATAAAGTGAGGTGAGATAATAGAGTCTTTCGGTTTTATTTTAATGAGTTTTCATCAGGGATTCAGATCACAGAGTTCTTGGCAAATTCATTTATGACTGGCCTACTTTTCTCAGCTATAGGCAAAGTGATCTTTCTAAGACTAGCTTAAGGTTTTTTTTTTTTTAATCCAAAGCATTTTGACCAACAAGACAATCGTGTTCTTAAGTGATGGCATGTTATTTTAGATCAATGAAACTTGAGAATTTTTCTTATTATCCTTCTGGAATTTTTACACATATCAGCATTTTTTCCCATGACAATCATATTAAACCCTAATACTTGAGTCACAGTATTTTACAGGGAGTAGGTCAGCAACAGAGTTTTTCCTGAAGCACATGTTACAGACCTGTAGTCTGTTTATAGAAATCAACATGAAAAGAACAATCTGGATTTCTCAGTAACACATTTTCTTAAAATTTGAGCCTGAGATTCCTTTGAACTCTGTCTAATACTGATCAAAAATATGCCCTCTATGTCTGTTTTTATGAATTTGTTTGGAAAAAGCTTATAATTCTAGGAATGGATTTCCATTTTTTATTTCTGTCCTTAACATTGTCTACAAGTTGACCTTGATTTTCCTTTTTGGGGGGTCACATGAGAAAAGTGAAAGCATCTCTAATACATACATAACTCAATACAGAAATGAATTTGCCCACTTTTAACAATAATAGTCACAGTGAATATATTGTTTTGATAAATAGAAGGTTTTTTTGCTTGTTTGTTTATTTTTTAATCTGTCTCCAAGAAGAGTGGAATGTGGAGGGAAGGAAGAATTTGAGAGAAGGGGAAGGTCACAATTAAAACACTGACATGAGGATTCTTATAGAGTGTAACTCAGAATTTTCACAGAGGTTTTAAGGATTGGCAATTGTAGCTTTTTAAACAAGTAAAATATATTTCTAAGTTTATGAGGTGTTTAAAAATCACTATGGCTAACACTGTATTTTTCCCTTGTCAAAAGAGAATTAAAAGGAGAGCTGTTTCTCAGCCCTGTGGCATGGCCATAACCACACAAGACTCTATAATATATGTCACTTCACCCCTTTGCAAGAGGGCCTAGCTCACTCTCCTGTGACAGATGGCGATGCCTATTCTTACATAGTCTTAGGCAAGCTGCACTAAACCCTAAGCATCTCTGAAGGTTAGAGGTTTCTGTTTTCACACACTGAGTGTCTCATCCTTTCCAATGTAGGTCCCTGGTGAGCATAGTAAACAGGAGTTGCCTTGGTCTGTGAGTCTCTTGTTCAAATCCAATCATGCGCTTTCTATAATGCACTATCTAAACAGCTATACTGGAATTGATTGGTACCTTTTCTCCTTTTTACTTGCAATCACATAAAACTAGAGTTAGATTACTAAGTTCAAAGAAGAATAAATATAAATGGCACGTTTTCCCATCAATATAGAAAGGAAAGACCCTTACCCCTTTTTCTATCTTACTTTCCTGGCCCCTGTGCAAAAAAGTTGTAGACACTATTTTTGTTATCCAGCATACATGTGGCTTATTTCATGGAAAGTTGTGTGGAAGATACATTTTATTAAACTCATTGATCTTTCTCCCATGAAGTTACAAAAAAGAAACTGCTAAAAGCTTTTTGCTTTATTTCTGATTGTTGTATAATTTACAATAGTTTCAAACCATCCTAATAAACATCTCTCATTCTAACCATTGTTATAAAAACAAGTTTTGAAACATTCTATAAGCAAAAGTTAGATATACTAGAAAGAAGAGGGAAACCCATAACTGAGTCCTTTGTAATACTTTAAGATGGTTGCATTAATCCTTACCCACCGTGTGCTTGCTGCTTTTTCCAATAAATTCATTCACTTAACGGCCAAGTGGAAACATCATTCACCTACCTTTGCTAGACATTGATCTAATAGACCCAAACAGTAGTCTTATTAAATGACACACACATGCTACACAAAACTGTAGCTTCTAAATTCAGTTTTCAGCCCCAAGAGTAGAATGATCTACCAAGACTGACACAGATTTCACTGTGTCATCATCTGTTCTATACCAGGGTAGAGGGCTATAGCCGACCCCAAGCCTCAGTGCTGTTCCTAGACAAACATAGGCTCATGGGTCTTTTAAGGATCTGAATCTCCTATTATTTTCCCAACAAGTCACCATTCCACATCTTTTTAGAGCTCGCTAGTTTGTAGTATTATTCATGGCAGTCCTTGTACTCTTGGGGCAGCTTTTTTCTCCCAAATATCTTCCTCATATTAAAATTCGGGCTCTGGAGCCATGCACAGGAAGTCTAAGGTCTATATCTTTGCCTCTAGGTCAGATATCACTCTTTCAACTTTTCCTCATTTATCAACATAGTATCAAGTTCAATCATCCACTTGCTTCTCCTTTGAACAGTTAGACCCAACAATATTTTCTAATTTTATTTCAATCTACTAAGTGAAATGTAGCCAGCTCTTTGGGTCAGGCTAGGTAAAAACATCCTCTTCAGGGTTGAAAGTGAATGGAATTGGAATCATTGAAAGGAAACTGATATTCGATGTGGAAATTTCCCCCAAGGACTCAGACCCAGGAGAGTGAAAACTGGATGAGGTTAGATGTCCCTTGTGTGTAAAACAGTCCTCTCACTCTGTGTAACTTCACTGTTTCTGATGTTACCAAAGTCAATATAGGGAGTGAGCTAGTATTTACATATGTCATCCGTTAGATTCCCACTTCTTGGTCCATGTTCATAAATTCTCTTCAACCCTTTCATTTCATCCTTGTCTTCTCAAGAATGAAACATTTCTTGTCCATGTTCCCATACTGAATATGCAAAAAGAGTTCTGGACTCTTTATAGGCTCCACATAAATATTTCTGGCTAGTTTGGATTTTGAGATTTGCTTGCATTTTTCTGGGCTCAAATGTTAGTACCTAGAGGTTATACTCTTAATGAAGTGAGCAGCTTCACCACTCAATCATTTAAGAACTACCCTAAGGAGTCCCTGTTTTCTCTATACTTTTGTCTTTCTAACAAATTCATCTCTTGCTCATACCCTCCATTTAATAATCACTTTAAGAGAATCAGCCCCTAAGTAACTCTAATTGAAAGTCAACTGCAGTAAAATCAGATAGGTTCAGTCTGCACTCCACAGGAAGTGATACGGCTTCAGGAAAAGTAATTCTTCCCAGTGACATCAGTTAGGTCTTCATGGGAGAGTGCACTTGAGCAATCTTGATACATTGGCTTGATTTAGAAGTTTAGAGAAGAATGTATAAAGCACCAGAAACAAAAAGAAAGCATAGGTTATATTCAGAGAAGATCCTCTACTTTAAGTATAACAC